GTGTTGTAACACACAGCCGTGACATGAGTTTGGCTTTCACGAATTTGGGGTATAGTTTCCCCAAAACCCCTACACCAATCTTCTTGAAACTTGACAAGTTTCATGCTCTCAGCAGAGGCTACCAACTCTGCAAGTTTCATCCAAATTGGACAAAAAACAACAAAGTTATAGATATTTCATTGATTCCCCATTATACCCTATGGCCAGATCTCTGAGGTGGCTCCAAAGCTTCAGAACCGCTTCAGCCAGATCAAGCCAATCTGCTTCAGCCAGATTCAGCCAATCCAGTCCGGAGCTCTGGATTGGATCACTGCCATCCGAAGTGGCCGGATCCGAAGTCAGATCAGATCACTGCTGACTCGCACAGGCCTAATGGTTAGGAATAGCTGGAGTTGGCCTGAAGCTGACATGCTGAGAAACCCTGACAGAAGGCTCAAATACTTCCCCATTCCCAGCAACTGAGCAGCAGCAGCACTCTCATGCCTCAAGGAACAAATTAACTCCCGTTCCTAAGTATTCTTGGGCTGCTTTGACTGCTTGGCCAACTGGACAGGGAACTGTAGCTGGTGTTGCCCATACCCATGTTTTCAGGAAGCTTCTAAAAGTCAAATCTTAGGCTTGCAGATCTAGAGTCCTGGAAATTACCAGGGCTATAACTACTATTGGATAGGATAGGCTGCTCATTAGACTGGAACCAGTCACAGACTCTGCAAGAGAACTGAAAGAGAAAACCAGGCACTGGTGACATCAGTGGGAAAAGGGAACATCTACCTTGCCCATAATTTGACTGTTGCCAATTACTGCATTTTGTAAATTGGCAAATAAAAAGAAATTATATGATTTAGAATAATGTCAGGTCAATGCACCCCCACATGGTGCGTCTGGAAGATTAGCTTAACTTTAAGACTGTAAAAGGACTTATGAGCAAATGTTGCCATGTATAGTGTATAAAGGTAAGAAAGTCTTAGATGAATGGGGCTTCAGGAAGCTGGACTGGGAAGTGAAGAGAGACCAAACCTTGTGAGCATGAATGATAGGAGCAGCCAAGGCTGAATTAGAATGGCTTCACTCCCAACGCACTCTAGATGAAATAGAGTTCAGATGACACAGGTTTAGCTAGTGTCTTTATCGCCATTTGACAGATGGAGCAGCTGACGCTCATGGTAGGTGATGACTTACATGAGCTCAGCAGGCCAAGGGTAGAATAAGGAACAGAACTCCTCTCTCTTGTATTCTAGTGCTTTTCTCTCTCAGCCCCTGGTAACCACTTCTTATTACTGCAGGTATTTATATATGCAAGCAGTGGCAAGTTCATACTAGTGGTGAACCAACTAAAGACCAGTTACTCTGGCCAGGGTAGCTTAAATACAACCTAATCTTTGGCATAGGCTTATTTGTTGTTGGTTTTGACCATTAAAAATGCTTTTCATTAAGTATTCAGAACCCCTGAGCACCTTAAAGGTTGCCAATATAGCCCTTGGTAGCCCAGCAGAGGAATGAATATCTCTGCTCTATACTCTTTAGATATATTACCTTAAATTATATGTCAACTTCAGGTATAGTGTATTTAAGGGGGAAGCACAATCTCATGGACAGAATATGGAAGTAGGAAACCTCAGTCCTATTCCTTGGGCAGTTACTTCCCTTTTTTTGCCCCTTGGTTTTCCCCTTCTCTAACATGGTAATAAAGACCTTCATCTCCCAGTGGATGGGGCTCTGAGACCTAATCAGTTAATGCTCAGCAAGCACTTTGAAATTCTTGGTGGATGGCCTATCTCTCTTTTATCCTCATAGTGACTGGGGCATAACAGGAAAATGATGGTGCTTTTGCAGGCTGCACATTGCATGCGGCATTCGTGTGCATACAGATACTCACATTTTAATTTGGCAGAGCTGTTTGCAATGGCGGCCGACCTGGCAAAAAGTTTGACAGGCAGTGTTGCTTTTACACGTCGCACTAAAGGAATGGTCGCTCGTGGACGCTTCACAGGAACCACCCTGGGGACAGGAGAGACCCGGCCTCGATACTCGAAAAGCCTGTATATCAAAACAGGTTACAGACTGCAAACAGTACAGTGAAGGATGCACTTTCAGAATGAAAGAAAATTTAGGCAACAAACACATTAGGAATAGCCATCAAGGGGAATGATTTACAGGTTACGCCACTAGAGGTTGCTGCTGCTACATACAAACAGCTGCTGCTGCCACATGATGCCATTTGCAGTAGAAGAGAGAGAAGAGGCCTCTGAGATGAAGTTTGAGTGTTAAAATTTCAGCTATTCTAGCAGGCAGTTCTTGTACTGGGCAACATTATGCACACAAAGGCCTGTCAGTCTGTCATTCTTAATGATTCACAATGGTCCCTTACTGAGCATGCTTTTTAAACATGCCCCCTAAGAGCTTGCTGTCAGAAGTGGCCAAGGACCTTGGAATATGTTCCTAGAAGAAGAGGTTTGGTTTCCCCATCCCCTCCAACACCTCCTCTTGCATGTCCTCAGTCTATTCCATTCTCCCACCTGCCCTGTTTATACTCCAAGTCATACAGCTGATTTTCTGGAGCTGGCAGCACAGAGAGGACATGTGTCCTGTGAGATGTTTCATGGACTGGCCTGTCTGCTGCCATTATAAGATCTGATGTGAGCAGAGGGATATAGCATGACATTTATCTAGGCTGCATCCAGCCATGGACCCCTTCACCCTTCTGTCTGCCTCCAAACCATTGCCCTTCAGCCAAATGGAACCTTTCAGCGCTACTGCCCATTAGCTTCAGCAAAGATGAGCAAGCCAAGAATGACAAGTATCCCCCAGGGCTCTTGGGGAAATACAAGGTGAGAGAGAGTTTGAAGAGAAAGCAAGGGTGGAACAGAAGTCAGGTGGCAGAGCAAGGGGAGTGAGACCAGACTTTACAGCACCGACACAGCTAAGAAACCTGCTCTGTTGAAGCAGTGTACTCAATAGGTATATGTTTGTGAGGTCTTGCTGCTTGTCTTTGCTGGCAAAACAAATGTTGCCTCTTGGTCCCCTGCAGAATAACCTTAACTCCAGGAAAATGAGCTGGAGTCTGAGCTACTGTCTGCAGCTTTGGTCAAAAGAGGGCATGTCTACAGTAACTGCTTGTCCGGTGCCATGCACATAGCACATGGTTAGTTTTAGCTGCTACTTTGCTGTAGCAGTGTGCTAAAATGGGGGAGCATGCCACTACAGTGAGGTAGCTGCCAGTCGCATGTAGACTCACATGATCACTATGTCACTGTTGTGCGTTGTATGACGGCAATGTAAGGTGATATGCAGACATGTCCAGAGATCACTAATGCCCAAACTCAGTATCATCCTATCTGGGGGTGGTAACTTTTTAGCTTAACAAGTGAGGGTGAAATTCCCACCCTCTGCTGGGAGGTAGGAGAAAGATGGGGTGCTAGTTACTTCCAGTTGAAGCCCTGTGGGTGAATATTACACACACTTCGGGGGAATCAGTGAGAGGGGGACAAACAGACTGAGAAAAAAGCTCCTATCCCAGATCCGCTGGTTTTAAAGAGCAACTTAAGGGTGCTAGTACATGTGACAATTTGCCATGTAAATGTGACCAAAAAATCGCCATTTGGCTAGCATAATGGCATTACTATATACACATGCATGAGGTCTTGTTGTGGCAAACTGTCCTGGAGCATGGCAACTTAGACCACCTCTGATGTATTTTAGTCTGATTGTGGCAATTTGTCCCATTGTGGACAAAAAATCTGTCACATGTACATGTCACATACATATCAACTCACCAAATTACATGTCCTGAGCCCCCTTGCCCAGCAGGTGTGGCTACAATTCACCGGTACTTTCAGGTAATTTGCAGTGTCATTCACAGGTTTTTTGGGTAATTAATGTTTTAGCACACCAGGTGTAGCTGCAGAGCCTGACATGGATCAATCTTCTGCTGATCTCCTTTCTTAAATTCATTAATTAAATTAAATAAATATTTAAAAGAAACTTTTTTGTGTTAGTTATCTCCAAATTCACTCTACTGACAACTAGGGTGTGTTGGTGTGTTAAAGACTGGGGCGCTTGAACTATGCCAGGCACCCAGGAGCACAGTTGCATTCCTGAAAAACAGTACTTTCATTATGACAGTAATGAAAGTACTGAAATTGCACTTAACTAAAATACGTTGATTCATAAAACTAAACAACTGTCACTGATCTGCACATATCACATAATAAGAGCTGTAGTTTAGTACCTCCTGCTATAATTTAGTACTAAGAGGTCAGCAGGGTTGAATTGTTATGTGGGGCCCCCTACCATATTTAACTTTAAATAGCTCATGGAGAAATTTGGAGATTTTTGACCTCTCATCTGTAATAGAGTGACAGTATAAATTGACACCCATTGTGTCACTTTAAGGGAAACAGCTTGAGACAGTGTAGAAACCCCCTCGTCATACATACAAGGACTCTAAGCTTCTAAGGGCTTGTATAAAACATAGTTAGTGCCTAGGCCTTGCCCTGGCTCTCTGTGCAGGAGAATGTCACCATGAGTTCACAGAACCATCAGTTATAAAAAAAGGCACCCTCAGAGTCATATGCTGAGCAGCTGTGCTCTGGAAGTCACAGAGGTCTGGACACATAATTTGCTGAGGAAATGAAGTCAATGGAAGTTAAAGGCACTTGGTAGGGCTCTGGGAATAATCAGTCAGCAGCCAAATTGAAAAACAAAACAAAAATTTCTTGGATGATACAAAACCAATTTTTCTACTGTTTTTTTTTTGCCAGAATGAAAGAATTGAAACATTTTGTTTCAGGTTCTGAATTCAATGTCTGATACTTTGAATAAAACCAAAGAAAGCAAAGGGTTAGCATGATGAAGGAAACTCAGAGAAGGAAGACCTTGTTCTGCTCAGCAGCCCAGTGACTTAGGTACTCATCCAGATTTCAAGACCTAAATTTAATTCCTTCTCCTTTCTAAGGGGATTTGAACTTCCACCAGGATATCTGATATCCTATCAATCATGCTACAGTATATTCTAGGGTACTGTCCCTAGTCTTTCTTTGTAAAGTTGTTGCACCTTGTATAAGGTGTTTAAAAATTCTTTGGGCTAAAGAGACTTTGTAGCTTGTGGGTTAGGATGCTAACACAGGAGGTGTGACATCTGGGTTCAAGAATATTTAAACATTTTATTTAATCAGAATCACCATCAGGAGTGAGACCTATCCTTCCCAGAATACCCTATAGCCTGATGACTTAACAATTTGAGAGGACAGTGGCATGGGTTCAAAGCCCCTCAGGCAGAAGGCAAAATTAAATTCAGGTGAGTATCCAAGGTGTGGGGCTGTTGTGAAACAAGGGATCCTTCCCCTCCTGTTCTTTGAATCCAGGCTTCCATAACCTTCACTTTTACTACAAGCGCCCCTAACTGAAATATTTTGAGAGTATCAATGTAGTTTACTTCAAGATTTCCAATGCATTATGTTTCGCTGCAGCCTAAAACTATTCATGAATAATTTGTGAATTGTTTTAGTTACCCAGAGTTACATTTTTGGCAAATAAGTACTTTATTGGTCTGCTTGTTGTTCCCTAAGGCTCCCTCTACACATTACAGGTATTACGCAATTAACTGGTTAATCGCACAATTAATTTAGATTGGCTACACATGCAAAGTAACTATCACACCATACAGAAGTCCATTCAACAATAAAGTTAGAGCTTGAAAATGTGTAACAACTTTATAGCTGTTTTCTATCCAGCTTTCATTTAAGCATACAGCAAGCAATACTTGAATGATAGCTATGCCCCCATGGCTGGCAGCCCCATCAGCTGACAGGAATCCTGCAGTTCATGGGGCTTACAGCCATGGGAGCTTGGTAGTTGTTGGTTAAAAGGTAGTCTGGGATCAGCATGATTAGATCTAACATTGGATCCCACAATCATGTCTCCTGTCATACACATGAGGCATGGCTTAAGGGAGGTCCTATCATGCCTTTACCTAAACATCTAGAGAGACCCTTAGAGAGGTAATACTCATTTTCTTCAGTCTTCCCACGTCAGTGTCTCTCTTGTGTGACATTCATACGGAGAGAGCTCCTTGTTTCACCCATTCCCTGCTTCTCTGCTTATCTATCATGGCTACCTCTCTAGCTCATCTCAGTCTCTCCCTCACTAATGCAAGGCCCTCCCCCCATACCTCTCCATGTCTTCCTAGATCTCAGCTATACACCCCACTTCTCCCCCAGTGCCTTGTTTTCATAGTGTCTCTTGTGGGGTTGTAATTCATGTAAAGCAGCATGCACAGAATAAAGCTCTGTTAACCATTATCTCCTCT